ACTATTCCGGGCGTGCAGCCCGCGGTCGTGATTAACACCCAGGGAGACCTCTTATCCTTAAAAGCAGAAATACGCCGTTTCAATGAGCTGGATGATGTCTTCAGCGCCGACTTCTTATCGTTCGTGATTCTCGTCTCTGTCAATAAACAACTAGAGTTACAGAAAACTGCGCAAGAGTACCTTCTATCACGGGGCACTCGCAGGGTAGCGCTAGTTGATCGTTCGTCTTGGGCACATGGTTTTCCACAAGAAGGCCCCTACTTTGCCACTCAAGCTGGGCTTTTTAGGGCTTGGAAACTGTTCCCAGATACCCAAGGAGCCTTTGTCGCCTCGCTTTTACAGGATGAAAATTGCCGGTTCGTCGAGCTTATAGTCAATGTTGCCATCGGAAGTTACTAATATGTTTGCAGGATTAGATACCTTGATGCAGCTTGCGCTGACGCCGCTCCGAACCTAACCATAGCTGTTCCTTCGCGACTATATTATCCCCCAAGCCCCGATCTACCCCTGAATGGACTCCGCGTCGCCATTAAAGACAATATCCATGTAGCTGGCGCAAAGACATTTGGTTCCTCCAAGTCCTATGGAGAGTTATACGGCATATCTCGCACATCCGCACCAGCCGTCCAGGAACTTCTCGATCTCGGTGCGGTTATTATAGGTAAGACAGGGATGAGCCAGTTTGCTGATGCAGAAGCTCCAACTAGCGATTTTGTCGATTTCCACGCTCCCGCCAATCCTCGCGGAGATGGTAATCGGACCGCTGGGGGAAGTAGCTACGGCGCTGGTGCGGCTGTGGCTGCATACAAGTGGCTAGACTTCGCCCTTGCAACAGATAGTAAGTCGCCCTCGAGACTCATGACCAGAAATTACTCATAGCGTAGCCGGTGGCAGTTGCAGAGTTCCGGCTGCCAACAACAGTGTTTTTGGCTTGCGCCCATCTCGAAATTCGGTAACACTCGACGGCACACTTGTAATTCACCGGTCTGTCTTCCCCTATCTTTGACGTACAGTTAAAACTAACGATGGTAGTGACTTGGATGTACTCGGACTACTATCGAGGGATATCGACGTACTTAGACGTGTCGCTGTTCACTTTTATCGGCTTTCCCCACAGATCACCTCCGTAAACTCCAAAAACTCCATCAAATTCATTTATCCAATGCATCTATTCCCACTCGAAGACAATGTTGTCCAAGAACATTTCAATAAAGTTGCTAGGGCGGTTGAATCAATTCTCGGAGTCACACGCTCAAATATCGACTTTACCAGAGCTTGGGAACGGTGGAGTTTGGGGACTAAGGGATCCCTTAATGACTATTTTGCATCAGTAAGATTGCGATAACTGCATCCCATTCTCAATGATTCGAAGCTATGGTAACCACTATCTCCAGACCCTATTTCAACACCTGGTATGGGGAGGGTATCACGAACGAGCGGAGTTTCGAGCACAGTATACATCCACGTTCCATAGAGCTCCTATGGTCAATCCATTTGCGCGGTATCGTTGGGGATTAGCTGAAGGAACTACAGAAAAGGAGGTCGAGCAAGCGATTTCCAAGAGAAAGGAGTTCCAATCATTCATTGAATCTATTTTCGGAGAAAGCGCGTGTATGCTTTCGCCGTTCCTTTTTCATGAACCCGAATCAAGAGATATATATCGCCCAGCGTAAGTCTAGGCCTCTGGCTCAATACGAAAGATCCACTCAATACCTTATTCTGCAGACCAAAAGAACGGGATCGCCTACAGACCGGCTGGGGTTTACGGCCCGCCTATCAGGCCTCCCTAGCCGGACAACCAGAGATCGTATTTCCAAGTATGTTAGATTCTCCTGTGTGATATATATACTAACAAGTGCACAGTTGGACTCTGTCCTACCATATCGGACATCAGCGGCGTCGAAGAACATTATGGAGTCATCGCTTCTATAATCGGCACAAGAGGTATAGTTTTATAATGTCCTCACCTTCAATACTTTGCTAACTTTGTTTAGGCACCGAACTAGCCGTGCTAGACCTCATATGCCAAATACTTGATCGCCTAAAGATTCCCCGGGCGGTTCTCACTGGCCGAACTCCGTTCGAGGTTTGACGTAATAGCCCCTGAATGGTTTCTCGAAGCACGGTTAGCAAGCGTCGGCATGCCGTCTGTTTAAAATCGTAGCAACACGATATGCCTTCATTTCAATTTAGTCGCATAGCTATAGTACAGGAACTGCTGATAAAATCAAAATTCAAATCATTTATCTTTGTTATATTAACATAGCGGGAGACAACTTTATGTAAATGGCAAATAACAAATACGAATCCACTGATGAATAGATCGAGTAATCTGCACACACAATACTTCAGGTTGCGGATAGATTATGATTCGTCGGGATTCAATCGATCAAACGACTATTCCGCCTGTTCTAGCTTCTCAACTAGACCCATATAGGTGGCATGGACGAACTAGTTATTGCGATAGTGCGAACATTCAGATGCCTAGACCCAAAGGGGGCTGTTTCGAGGGGCGGTTCGTCCAAATTTTATTGTTTTCTTTCCTATATATCTATCTGTAGCCTAGCCGTAGATTTCCGCCTCTTTCTTAGGAGGCGAGCTGGTCCTTCGGGTCTCCTCTCAATGCACCTAGATTTCTTCTGTGAGGTCCGTCTCATTAATTAATAAAAGTAATAAATGCGCACAAACCTATAGGATCTTTAAATAAGCGTAGCTAATTATTTATGTGTAGGGAGACTGATAATTCGAGTTACGTTGGTAGGATCGACGCATAATTAAATGGGAATAATCATGAGCTGACCTGGAGTTAAATTACAGATATACGCCCAAGCTATTCCGACAATCCCCCAAGAGCCACGCTTAAGACCACTAGTACCTAAGTTTCTTAACCAGTCCAGACATCAGGACCGGGACATTTGTACGAGGTCAGGCCGCCATTGTAGATATCGACCTTGATACAGTTAGCTATGAGAGTCGCTGACATCCTGATGCACAATTCCACTTACCATGATGCCAGGGTCGGACTGTGGTGCGTAAGCTGGGATAGAAGCTAGCAGGTTGGCAGGGGCCGTCGCGGTTCCAGAGCCAGTGACCACAATCTGGGCGCACTCGGGGTAGAACTGGGGGGTGTTGGCCTGGTGGAGGGCGAGAAGCTCATGGCGGATGAGGTAATTGCCAGGCTTCAGGGAGGCCGGGATCTTGCTTGACCACTTCATCGTCTTGTAGACGACGCCGGTACCCCAGTCGTTGCTGTTTACCGCGGTGCCGTAAAGACCCATCTGGTCGATCTTGAACCATTTCTTTTGCTTGCCGTCACAGGAGGTGAAGCCGTTCTCGCAGGGGTATAGCCACACCATGACGGGACCTTGTTGATGAGTCCACTGCTGCCATACAGCCGTGATGTTTGAACCTGCTGCTATCGTCGCTGATAATGGGGCTGAGGTGCCGCCATTGCACGTCATCTTGGGATCCGTTACGGTCATGATGGGGTTGTAATCAGGCCACTTTAAAAGACAGTTAGTGAGTTAAGCCTTACTTCAATACATGAATGTGCTATTCCGTATGTTTCCGGCCTGAATAAAAAATCCAGCAGCTTAAGGCGTATCAAGTGAACATATCGAGGGAGGTTTCAGTTCATGATTGGACATACTTGTCTCTGGATGATCTGAGCGCCGGCCTGTGGTGAGAAGCCCTGGTATCCAGGGTAAGTCTTGCCATCGATGATGTAACTTGTCACAGCGCCATGGGCAGCGACCAGGGCTGGAGCGAACAGCAGAGGAAGAGAGAACAACATTTTTAGTATCCAGACGACCAAACAGCAGATTGACAGCTTGGCAGAGCGAAAGACCTAGCGACTAGGAACGAAGGAGCCCAGAGCGGCTAGATTTTAGTTGTTATATCTACAAAAGCTAGAAGTGGATTGTTTACTCTATCATTCTTAATAATCACGGTAGCTCAGATTCCCTCCCCTGGAAGCGAGAAATATATTATCTTCATGCGTGACATCGAGGGATTTCCGCTGCCGCGAAATTCACGGAACCCGCCATATGCCCACAACAGTCTAATGCTCACCCCATAGTCCTACCATTTGCAGAGCTATACGGTCAGCGGACCGAATGGCTTGGAATCACCTCGGCGCAACAAGGGCCGTTTGTCACCTATATAGATGGTTCTGTGTCGAAAGATCGCCTCCGTATCAAATGATTGGATGTCCGGACTGGTGGTTCTGTCAGGCGTACAACGTTTTCCCCACATTCTGCTGCATGTATATAACACCTTATATAGTGTTCTCCAGGGAATACGGGAGTGTAATGCGACAGCCCATTGGAGGTTCGGGCGGCAGTAAATTACATTCTGATTTGATGATGTCTTCAGGCATGCCCGGGAGATGTTGTCCAGGTTCGGTTTACCGTCGCAATGTAGCTGCGGCGTCGTGCCCAGAACAGGCTATTTAGGTTAAATGCTCCCATCACTACTGACCCGGGCTGGAATACCACGGAGCCTCAGAACTGCTCTACGGTTACATGCATTTTATTGGGTAGCGACAAGTCCGATGCGCAGCCAAGCCCGCATTTAAACACCGAAATCGAAGTTCTGTGCCAGGAGGTATACATACCTAAGTTAGTGTTTGATTATTGGATACTACTTCAAATAAGGAACCCGCGGAATCTTCTACTGTCCTGAGGTGGAGCATGTTTCCTACTTTGCCGCCCCGAGTGAATTGAAAGTTGTGATACATTCATTCCCCCGAAGAAAAGTTAAGTATCCGGAGATAGGATCGATCTCGGTTAACTTGGGTTTGCCAAGCTTCCCAGAACCCAAATTCAACCCAAATTACATAACAGTGAATGAAATAATAATAACAACACGGAGACAGGGGAAAAAAGCGTAGATTCGAATAATGTATATCATAAGCAAATAACCAATATAAACAGCAAATAACAAGGAGCCCTTTTAACTGGACGGAATGAGAACATGCGAAGAGCAAAATGAAAAAAAGATGCCTCCACGCGGAATCGAACCGCGGATCTTGTCATAACACCGCAAGCAAGTATGATTACTAATACGAGTGACACGCATTACCCCTGTGCCATAGAGGCGATTTCTTTGTTGTTTTTGAGGATCTTTGCGGTTATGATGAGCGGAGCGAAACGAAGCGAGGGGGTCTACGAAGATTCAGTCCTCCCGAAGTGGTGGGTGGGTGGGTACTGGGTGGGGTCAGTTATCTCCGGAGACCCACTTCGTTATCTACGCATTACTTATCTAGGTATCTACAGCATACCTACTTCGTGCGGAGTACCTATGCTGAAATCTAAGTAAAAGCTAAACAAACAAACAATGATCGAGGCTTACGTGTCTTAGATCAACCACGGCTTAATGTATTTATTCTCGTGAGACTTCTGGTGATATTGGTGGCATTCTACTATCTGATTGTTTCTCCGGTGCGAGGTATCGCCTCAATACCGCTAAGTTTGGTGAAGTATATCTACAGGTATAGTGATGCTCAAGCTGGATCTGCTGGATCGGCAAGACTTGCTTGGTTCAAACAAGTTTACTCCGTACCTCCCGGATACATTCAAGTCTTTCACGGGGTTTCTGTGACGGCTTGAATCGCTACCATGATAATGTACACTCACTCTCTCGAAGCTGCGGGTAAGTTAGCGTCCCGTCCGGATGGTGTATCTATTACCTAATAATAGAGCCTTTCCTGTATAGAACCGGACACAAGAGAGAAGTCCGTTTTCTTCGACCCCTTGGGTGCTACCCCAACCCCTGGGTTCTGTATCATCGCGTGGATCGATTTGTTCAGCCATCTGATTATTAACTTATAAGACTTCGCGTTAAGGGACCATGATGGCTAGGAGAGTAGTGCGAACGGGCTCGACTCTGTTTCTTCAATCAAGGCGATATGGAGAGCGACCTTTTGCACAACAGCACTGACCGACCACGACGAGTTCAATCGAAGCCTAAGCTCTTAGCTGAGTACCTCTTGAACGACCACCCCTGCAACATATGACAACCAAGTTCAGAGGCAATTGGGCAGGAGATACGCATTCTGTTCGATTCACCGCCATCAACCTGGTCCTCCATTAAATGACAGCTAATTATCCAGGACATCATTGGCATCATCTCCATTAGTTTCATAATCGCCGCCTCTCCATAGTGCGACAAATCGGATTCGGCCCGTAACAGGCCTACCTATGAGACAGTCGGACTGCCTGGGTCTCTCTTCACATATGAACGCACCTATCACGCCTTCCCTTTCCCACAACGACTCCCTAGGAGCTTACCAAGTGTTATATGTTTATGACAGTCTTTTCGGTTTTCACCACTTCACTCTACACCTTACCAAAATGAGTATTCATGTCTGATAAGCTGCCTTTGATAGGCTTGAATTTTTCTAGCGCTCAAAATACTTACGCAGAATGAGACCCGTGGTGTCATCTGGAGAGCCGCCTACATTGATTTCCCATGGCGCTCACAATTTGGTCTAGTCTAGCTCAAATCGTCCGCATCATCATTGAATATCCTTCAAGACAGCGGGCAGTGCCCCCGAAGGCTATATTTTACAATAGCATGCTTCGTTTAATGCTCCCCCCATAATTTCAAGTCCAATGATAGGCTTGGCGTCCCTTCAAAGCCATCGTCCATGGTATAAGTGAAATTCCAGATTTCAAAGTCTCGAATCGTCTTGCTTGTACCCCCATTCGAGCCACCGAAAGACAGACTGTAACTCATATTGGCGTTGCCCGAAACGTTTACGTCAAGACCCTGAACGTCACCCCATCCAGAGAGGGTTCTCATCTTGGAAAATGTCGAAACGATGAGCGTGAAGACTGAAGACGCATTACCTTGCGGGTAAGTCAGCTTGAGCTTTCCAGGGGACACTTCCGCCTGTAAAGCCGCCTCCGTCGGCCAGAGCTAAATCATGTAAGCGGGGTAATACGAGTTGGAAATCCGATACATACGGAGATGAAGCCGATCTCATCGCCAGCATTCCACTGGATAACAGCTGGATTAAATGACTCTTGAGACTGACTTGGACCGCCAATAACGGTTTCATCATACGATTCGGCCCCGATGGTAAGGCTCCGTGAGAGCCAAGTCGTGATATTCCGAGGCACTTTGTCGTATGGCGGATAATATGCTTGTGCTTCGAAAACGTGCTCACCGCTAAAGGTTGTTATACGCTCCAGGATGTTGTCCGGTAATAGTGAAGCATGATAGCCTGCTAAAACGGCGACGAGAGGACCCCAAGCGTAGTCCGCTGAATGAGACATAACTTGAGGCTAATCAATGGTCCCAATTAGCTATCACTCTCGCCCAAGTTCATCTTATAGAAGACTAACCCTAGAAATTAACGAAGACTGCTCTCTGCCAATTAAAGTCCAAAACCACAGTGCCATCACCGACAAATACCGATTCCTGCGATAACGCGAGTTAATAATCGCATTGTCTGCGAGGATTCTGGAAGTCTCACATCAAATAACCGTATGAGCGATCCCAGGGCCCTGCCATATTCTTCATAGTCGGATGCCAGAGTTGGGCTACAGCCGACCAAGTCCCTTGCAGCATTTTTGGGCCATACTCAGACATGATGGAGTCATCTGGAAGGTATTTCGACCACAACACCAATCCGAAGAGAGAGACTCCCGTATAGGTGCCACTGTTGAATTCGCTCTGCTCACACTTTAGCCAAGGGGCGATCGCCAGAACCGAATATTGATTTGGCCTACCAGGGTGTTTGTCATCTGGAACAGGTCTATGATATCCTTTGCATAGGCTTCTCCAGCGGCCGTCATGTTCTTATCATTAATCCGGCGGCCTGTCCAACCGCTCACGAAAGCGCGCATAATCGACTAAACTCGAGATGAGCAGGTCATTCCAAGCTTGGTGAATTGCAGCGAAAACTTACCGGGTTGCTATACGAAGGGTAAAGGTTGTCATCATCAACACCCCCTACCCGGTAGCTATCGCCAACTGTTGCGTCCGCCAGGCTCTGGATGATAAGAGTCTGGGTTTTATGAGACAGTAGGTGGGAAAACTCCTCCATCATGATCACTAGCGTGGTGCCTATGAAACCACGCCAGTTCGGGTCCCAGCTGTTGTAGATAGAAGGGGGATAGACATCTCCAATCATAGGCTCTTCAGGGTACTTTTGATAGTCGCCGTACCTGCAGAGAGTTTAGGGCGGGACATGGCAACATCGTTCACATAGACGGCGCATACCATTGTTGAGACTCGTTCTGGAACTGGGCTCCCACCACATTCCTGATGACCTTCTCCGCTTCGTGGACATCGCTCCCATGGTTTCTAGCCAACAGTCCAAGTGCATACCAAACAGAGCTCCTCGTCTCGTGCCGCAATGCAGCACTTCCGTCGACGTCGTACAGGTAGCCCGCATCGCTGTCATAGAAAGAATCCATCCAGCTCATAGACTGGTTCAGAAGCTCTTGAGCGTTCTGCGACATGGATGAGACGTACGATGCCGAGCACACTCGAAGGAGGCCCCCGGCCAAAGCCAACGGAGTTAGAAGCTTCCACATGGCTGGTACTGCTGGCATAGCCTACGAAGGAAAGTGACGGTGACGGGATGGTTGCCCTGACGCTCATCCGTGAGACCGAAGGTGATTCATGTATGCGCTGACCGGCGAGACAGTGTCTCCTCCTCGCCGACTTATCAGGCTCGAGATAGATAGTCTCTTAGCACGATAAAGTAAACAACGCTAAGGGGGTGGAGAACATGATGGACCGGGAACATACGCCGGTAATGATCTGTCCGGTAAAGCCCGGCGTTTTGGGTAATAATCAACGGTGGCCTACCCGGTTAGATCTAACTTCCTCTCGCTAAAGCTAGCTAGGTACCGGTAAACCGAACCTACAGTGGGGGAAGGCCTAGTTCTTCGGGTATCTCGTGGCGCGTGGTCCGTGGAGAACAGCGGGGAGATATCCCGAAATGACCTGGAGACCGGTATTAGCGGGGTATATTTCCTGTTCTGTACGGCTTATTCCGTACGAAGAAGCAAAATAATTGCCTAGGTCTAGTCCATATGTTGCTGGTGCTCCAAGGATGCATTTCAGGGGTGAATTTCTGAGAACTGCAGGTCCGAAAGCCTGGAGGCGAAGACATATGAATGGCTTCCTAGAAATTGTAAGTGAGGCGGCTCCGAAATGAGTTGTACGCGGGGGAGGAGGTGGGAAACATGAGATCTATTACGAGATTCCCAGGAAAGAAAGGCACCGTCTATGTTACTAAATCGTCGCGACTCATAAATGTGACTTCATGAAGGTAGGTAGACATGGATAAATAACGGGGGTTCTAATTTAATGATTATGCAAATGCTGTTGCAAAAGCGTAGAGAGATAGGACAACATATAAATATATGTGCAGAAGGTCCAAGTCTGCGCCGCGAAAACGAACAATAATCAAGAGTTATCAGAACAGTACCGAATAGTGTTACATACACCAGCTTTGGCACATAAAAGATATACATAGCCGCGCTAGCTATCCTGTCCCTGGCCTTGAATAACAACCCACGAAATCTAAACATCTGCAGTCTAGTTCGCATTGAGCTGGTTTGATACTCAGTAGTTAAGCGTCTTGAAATCTAGGCATGTAGCACCGGTCCTCTAAATCATGAGGAGAGCATGGAAGCACGTGGCACTAAACTTTATGCAACAGCTTGCCTAAACACTACACATGCGATTCTTATTCCCGACTCTTACGCGGGGGCTCATCGTCTATGCTCAGCGGCTCAACCATCGTGAGCTCACCGTCACTAAGGTCATCCTCATCCATCATGGTGATAGGTGCGTCGGCATATTCGTCATCGTCCCCATCTTCTGGTTGAAATTGGCTTCCGCCCCTGCTAGGGAGTGATGGGGCAGAAGATGTCTCGTGAGAAGTACTCCCATATTGTCCTTCAGCTCCCATGCCACCAGTACCCCGGCTCGTCTGGGGTAAATCCGACGTGGACCACGAACAAGCCGATTTCATAGGTCTTCCGGAACTCGTCGTATTCGTGCTCGCGCTACCGCCTATATTGAACCTCATATCTAGAGTCCGCGCGTCGCTCTTCTGCTCCGCGACGTTTTTCAC